AGATTCTATCCTATGCCAGAGATTTTTGATAAGCTGCTTGCCTCTTTGGGGAGGGGCATATATATTAATCAATAGAAGTGTGCAATATCTGCATTTCATCAATAATGCCATGGCCACACTGCTCAGAGGCTCCAGCTCGACGAAAGATGCTCTCAGCCTTGTGGATATTAAAATGCCTAGCCCACCCTTAACTCGTCCCCCTTTGTTGCTTGGTGAGCCTGCGAGCGAAAATGAGGCAAAACCATTTACATCTAGATCCCCTGTTAGCCATGTCTCTTGCAAGAAGACTATATCATGATCTTGAATAAAATTGACAAATGATTGGTCAGTCGCCTTGTTGAGCCAACCAGCAATGTTCCATGATAAAAATTTAAGATTGGCTTTATCACAATCAAATCTTTGTCAATTATTAGCTAACGTACTTTTAGGGTTTGTCGCTTTATGTATCGGACGCCTATCGTCTTTGAATGGCGGGCTATCCAGCCGCTCTATGATTTCAATAGGTGGATGCAAAGTGCTCACGTTTGTGAACACCAGCTCTTTATTATGCATAAATTCCTTCTGTGGATAGTCTGTTTTGGCCTGATTTTGGCCCAATTCTGTTTCATCTAGGTATCTCATTTTGTCCCATACGTCTTGTGGGGTCACCTTGGGGATAGTTCTCTTTCGGGGGTGATGGAGTACTCTCCTTGAAGGGTGGCACATTCTCTCTTGGTGGAAAGTTAATCTCCGCTTTGATCTGAAGGTTACGTGTTGTGGTCTTTTTTTGGTCCCCCTTGATAACCTCGTTGCCTGAAGCTCTCTCAGCCAGCTTATCTCTTAGCTTATCTAGTCTTCCCAAGATGTCAGTTTGTATTAATGGTGGGAACATCCAGAATTGGTCAATTAGGATATTTTCTTCCATAGTAAAGAAATCCTCACCTTTACTTGCAAGGCATTGCGGGTTCTGTTTGTCAGGCCAGGATTTTGAGAGTTGTTTCCCCTTTCTAAGATTTGCCTGCTTAGTTTTCAAAAGGGGGCTCAAAGGAGCCTTATTTTCAAAGAACCTAAGTATTATTGTCCGTGCTTTTAAAAAGGCAGGTCTTGACCTAAAAATATACTTGGCCAGGTTCTGATCCCTAAAAGTGGTCAGTGCTCTCACTGAGTGACCATCATAATGTAAATATTCCACCGAGGTGATATCATTAGCATTAACCATTCCTGGCAGTATGTCATTTAGACTAGATACAAAGTTCATTATTCGCTGTTTCCCTGTAAGGAAGCCCTTAGGCTTCGGGAAGTTCGTGAATACCAGTTTTTGGGGATTTAGGATCAAATTCCAATCTCTTTTCTGACTGGAGGCTTGCCAGGTCTGAAGGGGGGTATCATCTCTACTAAACGCTTCCTCTTCCCCGCTGTTCGGTTTACTAAGTGTTTTATTGCCTTCATAGAAAGAGGCCTCTACTTCCGCAGCATCAGGTTTATTAAAAAGTTGGTTATCCAAGGACTGAGTTGTTACTTCTGCCTTCTCATTTGCTACTGGAGTCAGCCTTAGCGAGTCCTCCTTAGCCGGTTGCTGTGTAACTACCTTTGTTTCTCTCTTTTTACCCTTCTTTTGCTGCCCCGTGTGGTCGATTTATTTGGGGCTGGGGGAAGAAGTTTAAACAATTTCTGCCAATGTATGTTTCGATTACTGCGGGTATGCTTGGCTATCCTTGTTGTTTTAATATTTTTACTTTTCTTCACTTTTACCCTTGAGTTATGTCTTTGCAGATTCTTATTTATTACTGGTTTGTTCATCGACGCTAGCTCAACTGTTTTATGTTCTTGTGGCATATCATTTAATTTTAACTCTTTTAATTGAGATGTGAAATTTTCTACTAACGTCAGCAGTAGCCCATTTGTTATTGTTAGATAATTTTTATGTTGGCTAAATCAGAACTTATTGCTAGGGAATAATCCAAAGGGCGACCGTCACTCAATTCTGTTTGAGAGTATTTTGGAGTAAGTATCTGGTTTTGATGGGTTGATGTAATTTCTTCCGTGGGCAGCTGTTCCTTAGTAATAGAGGTATTTCCCTCCTGAAGTTCCTCGGCTAAAGCTAGTTCTTGCGCTAGGCTGCATGGGGAGTTAATATTTCCAGTATCTTGGTATATCTCTTTAAAATTAGATGTCCAATCAAGAACAGTAAGAGAGGGGGGTATTACTTCATCAAGAATTAACTCTTTTGTGGACTCTTACCCTCCTCCATCTTAGGAAAGTAATTTGTGATTTTGCTTTGTCTTTTACCAGGGCCCGAGGGGCTGATTGCCGAGTCAGGCAGTATACCCAACTCCTTGTATTTTCTCCTAGTAAAAACCATGGTAAAAGTGGTCTCGATATAGAGAGAGGGCAGTTTACCCCAGGTGCGACTGCCTTAGATTGGGGGGCAAGTGGGGGTATCAATCTATATTCCCACCTGCTCTCTGCAACAGCTTCCTGATGTGCTCATCAACAGCCTCAATATATTTCTCTATTTTGAGTTCTCTGCTTTTAGATCTTGGCAATTGTCCTAAGCCTGTAGTTTTCACCTCAATCATGCGACCAGCGCTGTTTCACAAATGCTGCAACCTAGTCAGAATATAATAATAAAACAATGCTGCCAAAGAGACAGCAGTAATAAAACGGCTAAAAACTACATTAAAATTAAAATTGCCTTATTTAGGCAATTTGTGTGCAGCTGGAAAAGGATAATAGTGGAGTTTGGCTATAGCGCATGTACAGCTATGATAACCTTGTATTTCGGGTCTTAGCTTAGTCTTTAGAGGCCATCTTCCACCGCCCCATACTGAACGAAGGATATCCAAGAGCCCCAGAAGGGAAACTTTCTGTGGGCTGGTTCGCTGATTCCTTCTAGGTAGTCTTTCAAAGGCCTACCACATAAGGCAGGGCACAGAACGATATCTTGCTGAAGCCGGTTTTCCAAACCTCCAGAAGGTCCTATCCGATACACTGTTGTGGAGTTATTGTGTAGATTAAAAAATTCCTGTAAAAGACTCAGGGTGCCTTCACCAGGAGTCTCTGAGAATATAAAAGCTGGTCTCCTCGAAAGAGTTTATTAAAATGAAGAGTCTTTCCAGCTACAGCACTTCCTCTTCAACTAAGCAGGAATGTTGTCCCCAGCTAGTTCACACAGCCCCCCAGCTGGGCGGGGGTCAGTCAGTTCAGTTAACCCCCGAATCTCCAAGCTTTATCTTTCTCTGTGTTCAGCTGAGCTGGGTGTCTATGGGCCAATCTCAAAGCAAAGCTCACAGTCGTATCTCTCCTTACCCTCCTTCTCCAGGCACCGTTGGTCGGATAAGCAGTTCACAGTTCTGTCTTTAGACCTCTTCTGTCTCTCTGCTCTCAGTTCAGGCAGCAGCGTTCTCTCCTCTCTGGCAACCTTGACCGGGCAGCTGATAAGGAGGGAGGGAGCAGGCTGGGACAAGCTGAAGCTCGCAGAGCCGACAGGAGTTATAAAAATGTTCAGAGTCTTTAAAATGTTTTCCGTTTGTTAAAAATTGGCATCCGGAGGGCAATTAAGATAAGGTTTTTTAAAAATAAAAGTGAGCGCCGGAGAGCGTGACTTGCCTCGGCGCCATCTTGG